GAGCACTGCTGTTGCAGTTGTTGAGCGACCATCGCAATCGCAATCGCAATCAACATCAAAAGCGGACGGGCAACAATAGCCGCAGCCTATGCCGACAGCTGCATTTTGTTTGCATGCTTGCAGTGGCTGGACTTGGCACTCTATATAACTACATACATACATACATTACTATCGCATATAAACATGTACATTAAGCGGTATCATAACTTTAAGTGAAGAGAAAATTTTTTGTGTAAAATTTTTTTTTTTTAGGCACCCGCTAGAAAACGCTAATCTCGATTTTTGCTATAAATTTCTTATTTTATACCCAATTTTTTAAATTCTATAATTGGCCATTAAAAAATTTTCGCCTTCAAAACCACTTTTATTTATACCTTCACTAATTTTGGAATTACTATCCCTAGATTTTTATTTTTATACAAGTATAGTCCTGGGCACCATTCAGCGGTTTTTAGCGGGTGCCCAAAAAAAATGTACACCCAAAATTTTCTCTTGACATAAGTATTCAAATAAAACTAACACACGCTAAACTTTTTTTCATGATACGCCTTAATGTGCATACATACGTATTAGGGTTCTCCAGAATATAAGGGGTGAGTTTTTTTCTGAGAAAACCGATACGCATAGTTTTATGATAGTTTTATTGCTGGGACATGATGGTAAGCCGTACCGACTTGAAATTGAAGTTTTGGTTCAGAGCTTATTTATACTGGGACAGCCACATGGCGCGAAAGGATTTCAAAAAATTAATCGGCATGTTTATCGCACACACACACTGGGGCTGAAGCGTATTACATATACATATATATGTTTTTAGTTTTTCAAGGACTTTAAAGATAAACATTTTATTAGGGGTAATTTTCGCTCTTCTCAAAAAGTCGTCTTTCACAACCGTTTCAAATTAGTGTTAGAAGCAATCAATCATACGGTCGCTCTTAAATTCTAACAATTTTCGCTTAAGCCTATCTTACCAAATCACAGTTAAGTTTTCATTTTAGGAAGACGAGACTGCCTATTTTGGTCCATTATCTCTTGCTACAATAACATCCTGACGAGCTATTTTATCGATCGAAGCTATTTACAGCTCCACTGTGAAACCATGATCGGCAACCAGCTCTCCGCCTACGGGTTATCTCACTTCAACTGTAACTTTGCGAATGGGGCTTGTTGTCACTTCCATTGGGGCCAGCAGATCCTGCCTTCTTCCATACTATCGCCTGTGTGCCTAAATCGGCTAATATATCAACCGTTGTCGTCAAGCTGAACTAACGGTAGATCCAGAAAATACGATTTTAACAGGATCGGACCAAAAAGGCTGAGAGTTTTTAATGGAAGCAAATAAGGATGTGGTAGGTGTCGTGTAGGGTACCTTTACAAGCCAATCATATGGGCATTTGGTATTTTGCGGCAGAGTCTGAGTAAATCAGACGCGGGATTCTCGATGAAGCTGAAGGTCATCGTCTGCAGTGATAGGTGTTTGTACTTCCATGACGGCATTCACGGACCGAGAGTTTGTAAAAGTGGTTGAGTCTCGGTGAATTTCGCTTAAGGCCTGTCTGTACAACGTTGGGTCCAGTGGTTGTGCCATATATGAAAGTATGGATCTCGTCCATGAGTTCCTAGAGGGTCTAAAAGGTGGATATCGTTCCAGCAAGTTGCTGTGAGTTCTAGCTGTGATGTTCAGGCGGAGGCATCTCATTGGTGAGTAAACTGACGGAGCATAACAATGTTTCTTTGCTGTTAACATCTGCGAGAATGTGATCAATGTCATGCCGTAGCTAGATCAGTAAAACTCCTTCTGGCGGCTGAGGAAGTTTCGCTATGTAGAAGGTAAACGGTACGCTGGTATTGTTGTATGGCTTTGGAGGGGTGTGCTCTGGTGAAGTCTCTGGCTTATACTACGGGAGTGTGGTTTGAAAAATTTGTTTGAATCAAGGCGATCGTCCTCGTCAACGGCGTGTTCAATATTCTTCTTACACCTTAGAATAAAAATTGTCTCGGGAACCTAACTCACTTGCATATTTTTATTTTTTTTTTGATTTTCTACCAGATCACCAGTATTCTTTAAAAGAGCTTCAAATTATAGTCCAGTGGAATAGTATGGACATTTGGGCATCAATTCAGCTAAGAATGGAAAAAAGCTATAAAATACTGGAAATTATTCCTTTCAAATCACTGCAAATATTCCCTTTAAAGTTTTAAATATGAATCCTTAAGATTGGATAGAATAGATACACAAAATAAGCAAAGTTTTCATGTGAGATTAAAAATGGTATGGTAACTTCGGTATATCTTGTAACAAAAACTTCAACTTCAAGAATTTGACAAAAAAAATTCTGGGGCACCCTTATATGTAGATACATATGTACAGGACTCAATACCTAAGCAGTGAAGTAAAAGTAAACAGCTCATCAAATCAGCCCTTCGTTGTTGAAAAAGCCGCAAACAGAAAACAAAAGCGAGGAAATAAATACATACCCATCCTTTTGTTGCAAGGATTAAATACATGGCATATTCACTTGAACAAATAGCAGCTGATGTGAAGCTCATCAACGCTTTTTGCCATTCTCGCACGCATACTCACACAATGCAAGCACTCGTAGTGCAAAAATCAATTGCTCCCGTACACGTCGCTTTCGTACCCCGTGAAATTGGAATATTTACAGCATCGCTCAAACGTCAACAACATATTTAATATGGCGCTGACTTTAAGCAAAACACATAATTGCCCCTTTAGATTTTTGCTATTAAAAATTCTGGAAAGGCCTTGAAATTTAGATTATAAGTGAAAGTTGCGTAGGTTTCTTACTCAGAGTAATACATCATAACTCTCAGCGAGTGCCGGGTACATCCTTCCAAACGGGCTTATTTTAGATTTTAGAACAGGTACCGTAATTCCACTACTGCTATCTGCGAACAGATTTCTTGTTCAGCAAATGAAATGTGATGGGTGAAAATTCTTAAGTCTAATAGGGAATTTACATCATTCAACTTTCACAGGCGATTAGTTGAACCAAAAGTTGAACGAAAGTAGGGAGCCGACCAACTTCATTGTAAGCGATTAGTTGAAAGGCTGTTTACACCAGGCGATTGATGCTTTCAACTAAAAATCGCCTGAAAAATCGCGTCATGTAAATTCCCTATAACCCACTAAGGAATTCTACCGTAGGGGCGACACACTAAACTAGATAGCTGTTTGACCCAAATGGCTAGCATTAGGCCCGTAACACCATTCATTCAGAACCCATTATACCCTCTTTAGCTATCGCTAGGCATACTTGTTGTTCAAGATCTAACTCTGGGAAGGGAATCCGTGTTTTTCAAGCAAAACGTAAAAGTATCTATAAAATAAAAACAAAAAATCTATGCCAAGAAGGAATAACAGCAAAACTCAATTTTACAAAAAAAAAATTTGTAAACAACTTTTTTTGTTAATTTCTCATTTTAATTTTTTAGAGACCTTTACGTTGGTAGCTTGAAGCTTTTGCCTGAGAAGACCCCTAGTAAAATTTTCCAAAGAATAATTTTCTAGAACATATCAATCTTCTAACGAACTTCCAAATTTGCTATTTGCGGGGTTTTTTGAAGGGTCGAAATGGCCTTTTCAGGCGGGAGATAATGGGTTAAAATGTTCTACGAAAATATTTTCCATGAAATTTTTAGTTTCGCTCAGACATTTATTTTAACCCACTCTTCCACTTTTTTGAAAAATACTTAGGCCGGGATATAAAAACTTTAGTAGGCCATACAATAAAAATACGAGCTAACTTTTTTAAATCCATCGAGTGGTTTATTACTGGATATGTATACTTTCGGAAAATATTAGCAAACCCCGGACTGGTTTGAGTTGTCATAAAATTGTCGCACAGTAAAATCAATGCAGTGCGGTTTGTGATGGTGCAGAACTCAACAATGCTATATTCAGTAGACTTAAAAGATCAGTCATAGGCGTGTTACACAATCGGAACTGCAGAGGTTCGCCGAGGCAGTTTAGCGTGGTAAATGTTGAACAGTAGTGGGACTCTGAAAGCATGCAGCTTCTAGTCACATGTCCATCACATTGGCACAACTTGTTAAAATGTCGCGGCCTTGTTTATTTTTCCGACACTGTATTTCTCTCGTTTAAGCAATGCGAACTTGTAAATGAGAGCTACAAATACACTAGAATTTTAATTAAATGACACGGTTACATTGCCTTTCCTTACCTTAACAAATTTAACGCAATTTACTTTGGTTTTCATACATTTTATTATTCTTTAATCAATAATAACAATTCGTACATTGCTGTACGATTTTGTATAAACAATTTCTGGTCAACATTTGTAAAATACATGCGTTAGAAAGTTTTCTTGTATAATTTATTTATTTACGCACTTTTTGAAATTGTAAATTTATTACAATTAGTTTGTAAAGTTTTTAAAAGGAGTTCAATTTTCTTAAAAATTTTTAATTTATATATAGTATAGTAAAATTTTCAGAAACGATAATCAATTAAATTTACACAAAAATATCATCTTTTAAAAAGTTTACATTTATCTTTTGCATAAGCTATTTGACTACATACAAAAATAAAACAACTTTTTTTAATCCATTAAACTGAAGATAAAGAAAACAATTTTTTTTCCTTTACTTTTCGCCAAAATTATAAAAACTAAAGATTGACTAAAATGTATACGCGCATACTTTCACCGCTGGTTAAGTAATATGGATCAAGCGCTATTGCATACATTTTTCAAAATTTCTGCAACAACTTTTGAAACTATAATTGCTTCTAGAAATGTTTTCCATTATATTTTTACTTTTGTTTGGCGAAATTCAACTTTATCCACCTTTAGCGCGCATGTAGAGCAATAAATGTCCCTAACAAATTTTTATAAATTTTTTTTTTTTCTGAAAATATATTTCATATTTTTGTCTAATCCTTACTAATTCTTCTTTTCATGCATATGGTACATACAAATATAAAAAATTCTCTCTCAAATCAAATATCTTTAGTTGCGTTTTTTTTTTTTTAGTAAATCATGAACACATTTGTTATAATTTCTTTTACATAACCTAATGCTAACCACTTCCGACTGCTTGTCTTTACATTTGTACAATATTTATGCATTTGTGTATGTACATATGTATGTATGTACAGCAATTTCTTCTTTACAATCTGGCTTATATACAAATTAGATTTAATATTTAAAAAACTTTCTCGCTTTTTGCTATTACCTTTTGTTTGCTGGCCTTTTAAGTGTTTTTGTTTTTGTTTTGTTTTTTTATTATTAGTTTTCACACTAAATACGTGAATAACTATCTATGTATGTACGTACTATATGTATGTATATGCCCTTATATACAGATTCATTGTTCAACTGAGTGGATGCATAAAATGTCTTCTTGTTGTTCTTCTTTAAATTACTATTTACTATTTACAGTGTCAACAAGACTTACATACATACTAACGTATAACATTATTAAATTTATATTTCGGTTACAATACAAAATTTCATGCTTCTCGATTTATGTCTTTATGCTGGATATTAACTCGATTCATGTTTTGATGGTTGGTTGTTGTATTTTGGTCTGCTTTTGTTATTGCGAAATTCGCAACAAATCAAGCATGTGCAAACATAAATACAAATATGTAGTAGTTTGTTTTTTTTTTTTGTTAAATTTAACAAAGTTTGATTCGTCGTATTTTTTCGAATATTTCCTTTTGTTTTATTTTACCTTATATTTGCATATAAAATCTATTTATAATTTATTTTGGACTCTTTTGTTCGTTCTATAATTATTGTTGTTAAAATTACAGCTATAATAAGGTATATAAATGTATAGTTGTTTTGAAACTATAAATCTTTTCTTTGTTTTTTTTTTTTTATTGATTGATTGGCAAAGCCACCCATATTATTTATGTATAAGTATATATTAATTTTTTTATCGTTGCACTTTTTTGTTTTTTGTTTTTTGTTTTTTTTTTTGCACCATCTACCCCCCTGTACCCAAACTTAAACTATTATTTCATACGGTTAATGACTAAATCCGCTACTACTTGCAGACCCTTTTGGTATGGCGACTCGGTCAGCTCCTGTGACAATCGTATCGCTTCGATGCAATGCTTTTTGGCCAAGAAGCGCGTCTGTTCGAGTCCGTGCGATTTGTGGACTAGTTCGAAGGCACGTTCAACATCGCCAGGTTCGCTGAATCGCCGCATTATCATCGGATTTAGCTCGGGGTACTGCAAAATGGAAAAGAAAAAAATATTGAATGTTATCGAAGGCATTATTTAACGCCGGCTGAAAATTAGTTGGTCACTCAATTTTAGTAAAATGAAGTGCCGGTGTGAAGAAGCTAGAACCTACGGCTGATTTTAGGAATCTCTTTTTTTAAGGTATTGCTCATTTTTTGACTATGGTGAGACGACTTTGCAGCTGAAATAACTCTTTTAACGAGAAAGCCATTGCCAGCAAAAAATAAGCAATTAACCTTCAAGGTTATAGCTCAATTTAATGCAGCGGTCTCAAACAGTAATTAATTGCTTGCTATTCAATTGGCTAATGCGTTTTCCAGTAACCTCAACAGCAAAAAAAATTCACTAGAACACAAAGGAAGAGTAAAGAAATGTCATTTCATTAAAGACAAACTATTGGCAAATTAACAATGAAATCATCCACAAAAAGGTTTAAGGCAATCTAAAGCGTCTAAAAATAAGCCATGTTCAAATGCTTATCGGTGGCAAAAGGACACAATCGCGCTGTGACATTCTCGTTGCGGCGTAATTGTCGATATAATCGCATAATCTGTAAGTAAGTAAGTAGTGTCGCCTTCAAGAAATCACTGCACTATTTCAGTCCAATTGAGTGACACCATACAAGTTGTTAAAACGCCATTGCAACGGCGATGCGCTAGTTGCCGCCGTCTTATAACAGTCGCATAGCAGTTAGATGTCACAGCTGTCAATATATGACTGTCAACAGCTGGTGCGCAGGCAACTCGATTGACGTACAAAACATTAAATACGTACTTAGTTACCGCTTGTCGCTGCTCCTGACACTAGCAAATCATTTTGCACTCCTTACACCCACTTACCGGCTGGCATATGTATATCCACCTGCAGCGGTTTATTGTGCGCATCACGTACACACAAATAGCTTCGCATATCAATTTTCGCAAAACTATTCAATTTGACTGCACTGCGTGGTGATGTGCAATGAAGAGTGGCACATTTGACTGCACAGAAGGCAGGAAAGGGAGGACTTTGCGGTTACGGAATAATGGGGTGCAGTGGCGCGTGTGGGGGTTCGAGATTGGCAGCGTAGTACTTAGTGCAAAATTCCATAATATGTGATGTCAGCTGACATTATGATGCACTGTGCGATGCGCTGTCAATTACTATCGTTTACGAATTTGCATAGAATCGATTTGATTCGTTTATATTTTATTTCAATTTGAGTCATTCCTATTTTAATGTTTAATAATTTCTTATAACTTGGATTGCATTTGAAATATTGTAAGAGCATGTTGGAAAATTGTTGCAATGAAGCCATTTTAATAGAATTGAATTAAAGCAGAAGGCGTAACGAGTATTCATTTGATAAAAAAAATGCAAGAGTTTTAGAAAACTCTTGGGCTGGGTCGTTGGAGATGTTTTCTGTAACAAACTATGCGTGAATCCCAGGATACGATTTTTGCAGCGCATTTCAAAAGCAGGATTAGCCACTATTAAGGAGGCAGTCGAATGACTACGTACAAGTGTTATACCGATTAGGAGGGTAAATACTCGTATTTTCCGTGACAGCCAAGTAGCTAGAATCGCTGACATCGCCACGTATTTCTTCCAAATGAGACTGATTTTGGTTCCAGGCTACAATAAGACTGCGACAAACTGCATGGCTGATGAATTGGCTAGACAGGGGGTCCCCTCAGGGGGGACCCTCAAGGTCATATGGGGAGAGAGTATTAGAACTAACGTGTAAGCCTGTACACTGCTTCTGTACAGATGGGCTTATTAATACTGGCATGAAAATTGGCAGACCTTTTCTGGCCAGTAGCGGACCACAGGCGATCGAAGAATCTTCTGCAGCTACAGAATCAGCTCAGCTCAGCCAACTCTCCGGTGTGTTAGGGGTCCTGACTGTGCCTTGTTTATTATTAACCCCTGCGGTACGCTGTAATATCGTTTCCAACTCCAATTACCATAGCTGCTTGAAATCTGAATAAAGATCTTGTAAAATGTACCATAAATGCAAGCTAATATCCAAAAATGTTGCAAAAATCGCCAAAACCAATTAAAATTAATTTCGGAAATTTTTAAGAAAATTAAACAATAAAAATAACGTTCCCGAAAGACAACGAAAAAATATTCCAAAAAATTATGATATAGAAACCCAGAGAAGTTCTTAAATAATTTCAACAAATTCCGAAATATCCCCGAAATTTCGGAAAGTAATCGAAAAGTCTTAAAAAATCCACACCTTTTTAAAAATCTCGCCAAAAATCTCGTAAACCAGAATCATTACATTTTTTATCAAATACTGAAAATAAAATGTCCTGAAGAAATATCTCAAAAAATCTCGAACAGATCTTCAAAGAAATCCGAAAAATTTCTAAGAAAAAGTAAAAAATACTACGAAAAAAACCCGAAAACTTGATTGGTTCCGAAAAAGTGAACAAAGTACATTAAAAAATTTTGAATATCACGGGAAAAATCTCGCCGAACTAAAATGATCTTAAATTATTGAATTTTTTTATCAAAGGGAAAATGCTCTGTGTTTAGGCGCGACTCCTAACACGGGCGCCTAAATGCATGCTATGTACTGCTGCATGTGAAATTTTTTTTGTGCGATTAATGAAATTTTTTTTCAAATGCACTTCTCAACTGTCATGTAATAAAACTTTCTTAAGTTATAATTTGATGGCACTTCAAAGTATTCTCGGCTCAGTCTGATGCATGACATGGCTTAAAACCAAACAGAGGTGGTAATAGTTGATTACCATTGGCCACAGTGCCTACCCACCACTTTTTGGCCCAATAGGTAAATATTTTCTTTATGAATACATGCAAACATACACGTCTCCCCTCCCACGGAGTTAATCACTCTGAAAAGTCCTGAAACATCCTAAGAGATCTCGAGAGCTGCCGCAAAAATCAATGCAGGAATTCCGCAGATTTCTAAGAAAATTTAAAATATCCCTAAGGGTCCCGAAAAGTAAAGAAAATATACGGTCGAACCCAAAAGATCGTTGGAGCTCTTGAAAAACCACGAATAGTTTCTATTTCCAAAAGATATCCAAAGGTCCAGAAAAATATCTAAATACCTACGATTTTTAGAAAATCTCCTAAAACCAGAATTATCACAAGTTACAGGTATTTCAATTTGTAACTATCAAAGCCTATATAAAGAAAATATCCTAAAATCATGCAAAAAATACTCAGAAGCACCGAAAAATCACAAAAAAATATAGAAAAATATGCGCTACAGTTACAGAGAATTCTTATTGTCTTCGAAATGTCGTAAAAATTGTTTCACTATATCTGTTTGACTTCCCGAAAAAAAATATATATAACTTTGAAAAAGTATACTTAAATTCACTGTAGTATACCTTAACCCTCTAACCGTCACTGTTATCAACTTGGTACTACTAGTTAAGAAGTCCTTCAACAAAAAATTGCTTGCTAAATGTTTAACAAAATGTGGTGATTTTGACCCAGTTAAAAAAAAAAAAGATGATGAATTCTAGCAAAATGCTGATCATTTAATTTTTTATAATAACCCTACTACCAATCCTTTAACAAATAAAGTGCATATTAAAAATATCCCCGTAACGCTTCGATGCAATAACGATTGCCAAACTAAACACAACTCGAAACAAATTATAAATTAAAGTATACACTTAACGCTCAATGAAGGTCGGCAAAACAAATTTAAACATGGAACGCCATAAATCTCTACAATCGCATCGAGCAATCGAGCGAGTATAATAAATGCATTAAAGTGTAATAAAGCTCAAAAATAAACAATCAATATGCTTCAGACAGCTGCAGCTAGAGAACATAAGGAAGCGTTTAATGGCGAGCATGAATGCATCTAAAAGTGCATAAGTAAGCGCTTATGTAGAGATTTATTTGACTAGAAGAAACATTAATACGTAATTTGTCTTGACATTTAGACATTGCAAAGTGGCTTTTACAAAAAGCGTTTAAAGATGCATACATATGGCGACATTGAGTAGTGAATCAATGCTGTTGACGTTATTCGGACAAAAATCAGAATACTTTTTTTACTTTTCAAGCAAGTCAAAATTATTTCATGTGTGTGTTTGGGGGAGGAATACGGAAGTGTCAAGTTGAATTTAAATAACATGGAACCTATTAATCAGACACTTCAAGTCGAAAGAATGGAAAAAGAAAAAAATGTCTCTATAACCTTCAGCTTTTGAACATGTAAGTATATAAAAAGTTGAGGTTTTTCCACAGAAATTATATAAAATTTATTATATTTTAAGACTTGCCCCAAAATGTTTCAGAAAAACCTTAAGAATTAGGTGAACTAGACTTATTTGAAAGTACCTGAATTTTTGTGCAAATCTTTTAAGCTTAAACTATTCCGTCTGAGATGATTAAAAAAAAAATATATATATATTTTTACAAACTAGTTTTTTTTTTATAAATAACTCAATTTTTTAGGTATTTTCAAAATTTTTTTTTGTCGCAAGCCTTAAAATATAACTTTTATAATTCCGATAGAAAAACCGTACCGATGTTTTTTTTTTCTTTGTGTGCAGAGTAAAGCACCCTAATGTGCATACCTACATAAGTTTAATTACAAAAATCAGCCTTACCTTTTCGCATGCGAAGAGCACCGGCGCCGTGGCGAGTCCCAATTTTAGATCCGCAGCCGTTGGTTTACCCATTGTTTCGGCGGAGGAGACAAAGTCCAACATGTCGTCGACCAGCTGAAACGCTAAGCCCACATTGCGGCCATATTGGAATGCCAATTCGGTGATGTTTTCATCAGCTTCCGCGATTACGGCCGTCTGCGGGTAACACAAATGAAAATGTTTTAGAAAAAAAAAAATAGGACACAAAAGAGAGAGCAGAAGAAAAGCATTATTGCTTAGGCATTGATAAACCTAAGGGGAAATGTTAAAATTTCATATATTACAATGGTGAAAAATAACAAAAATTAAGAGAAGTATCATAAACAACTTAATTAAAATAAGTACTAAAAACTCCAAAAAGGTAAATAACAAATTGTAAAAAAATTAACTTTAGAAAATAATCGCTTATGTACTTTAAACAACTAATATCGTGTCGGGGGGGGGACGAAAATACATATGCAGCATTGAAAAAAATACCAAAGTGAACAAAACACTAAAATCGCATTCAATTTGGCTCGTCGTGGTTTTTTGTGCATTTTTTTTTTCTTTACGTTTGGTAGCTGGCGCACGCATCACTGCATCGAAGGCATTTTCTTTACTTGTACTCGTACCATTGCATATCAAGCACTTGCCCAAGCGTAGGCTCATTCCGTCGATAAGTCAATCAGTCATATGCGCTGTGTTGTCGATGTTTTGCAAAACCGCTTATCTAACGGCACTCAAATTTTACAGTAGAGCGAAAAAACGGTTTATTCTTTGAAGGCATTGCCTTGATAGGCGGTATTTTCTCTAGCTATTATTTTACTATATTATTTAATCTGTTGTTTTACTAACGATTTAACCATTTTTATGCATAAATCTCGATGCCTGGACTTCAGTGTTAACAAATCTCATTTTTGCCACAACCACGATTTAGGCGGTTTTGCAACTGGCCGATGGGCAGTTTTGCAATAACATCGACGATATATATATATATGAATATATTATATATATACATATATTATTTATATTATATATTATGTGTGTACATGTGAATTAGGGTGTTCCTTAAAATATCAACATCTAAATTTTTATGGGGCACCCCTATATTTCCTTGTAGGTACAAAATGTAGACTTCCAATTTCAACATTAAAAAAAATAGGGTTCGCTACCACAAATTGAAACAAATTGTATCTAATAAATTTGAAATATCATTGAATACTATTTGCATATATCCATTTATCCATCGCCAAATGGATTCACCATGAAATTTAAAGCTACAAAGACGGTCATTGGTTTAAGCTTTTCGGAATGAGTGCGGCATTTTTCAAACTCATGTCTATTATGGACTGCTTGAGCACAAACGCATTTCTTAATTTTTTGTAGGCAATTTTTAAATCTTTTTTTTTTTTAGAGATAAATGGTTTTTTCGTTTTTCGGGATCCATACTTTGTTGCAAAGACAATTAAAAAAGGCGTAAAAAGACATAGCATTTATTTTGATCGGACCAAAATTCACTAAGTTATAGCTGGTGAACGTAAATTTTTTTCGAAATTTTGTGATTTCTTTGTAGTAATTTCAAACTTCGATAGCGACCCCTAAAAATTGTTTCAAAATTTTTCGATTTTCGTGAAAGTCCTTATTTTGTACATATGTACATACATTTGTAGAACAAAACATACAAAATTTAGATATTGATATTTTAGAAACCACCCTATTATATAATTTGCTCCACTATCGCTGATTTTTTTTTTTTGCTCGTGACTGCGCTGCCTACTTACCGCTTTCAGCGCATTCGCTATGAGTGAGGCCGTCTTCCTGTATGTCTTGGTCAGGTAGTGCGCGAATCGTTCATTTTCGGTTTCCTTTGAGCCAAGTTGCATGAATTCGCCTTGAACCAGATCGGTTAAAATCTAGAAGAAGGTTAACATAAATGCATTTAGTGAAAATGTGTAGATATATTTTTAATATTTTTTACAAGTGTGTGTATGTAAATAATACTACGAGTAAGTAATACTAAGTATGTATTATGCTCGTATCACTGGTTGACCAAAGACAGAGCACTTCAACAGTAAAATCACTTGGCTGGTAGCTACATATGTACATAAGTACGTCAGACAAAGAGTAACTCTCTTTACGACTAGGTTTAGCCGGTTTTAAAAAAGATTGCGATGCTCAATGAGAAGAAAATTTCTAAGCAATGCAACAAGAAGAGGCGAAACTGTCGAAAGAGCCTTAGCCATAAAGAGCAGCCAGCAGGTGTCTCCAGAGTCTATTTAGAAAAGTAGACCAGAATTCTTTGGGTCCAACAATATTTCCGATAGAGTGTTATCGTTCCTTAAATGGTTTTATTGGCCGACAATCTTCAGGTCCCTATGTCATTCCAAACCGTGTTATCAAACTTATCTCGATGGCGAGCACAGAAATCATCAGGCGATATATAGATTGTGCAACATACATGAATTTTTATGAAAAAAACGGGACATCGAGTCAACTATAAACAAAGTTGTAATAGGAATGTTAAAAATACTTGTAAAATACTATTTAAAATACAAAATACAATTAAGTACAAAAAGTTTATGAAATAAAAATACAGAATACTTTTGCGAATAGTATTTAATACAAAATTCAAATACGTATTTTCAAGCACAAATATGTTTCAAAATACTCTTGAAATAATATGTATGTACATATATACACCCCGTGCCAAAAATATATGCGCACGCCATACATACATACATATGTACATATCGTCGTTGTAAAGTACAAAGCCGCGTATCAGCAAAATGCAAAAAATGAGCTTTGCAAGGCATTACGTTTTTGGATCTCGGAATTTGAAAATGTCTATCAAATTAAAGACATTGTTGAAAAGGGAACCTATTTCGGATATGACGAATAATGAAGAGTGGAAAAAGTCTTTAAAATACAAATTAAAATTACCATGGCCATGCTAAATAATTAAACGGTTCGCAGAAGAGTACTGTTCCCTGTATAAAATTGCCGTTATAAGAGTATGCTGTGCCTTCTGAACAACTTCAAAGAAGGCTGCGTTGATAATCGCAGGACACTGCTCACCATTGATATAGTGGCAAGAAAAATAGTTGCAACTACAGTTAAGCAAGCGAAGGAAAGAGCAAAGCGAAAATGCTTGCAGCAGTGGAAAGACCGTTGGAGCCATCCAGCGCGGAACATGGTTGCTGTAAAGCATATTGCACAGAGCTACTTACGAGGTTCATCCTTCTGTACAGAACAAGTAATCGTTTTATTTTTTTATATTTTTTTTTTAAGTACAAACATATGTACATGTGTCCATGCATAAGTGGGATAGTGGGTCAATGAGCATAAAAGCCACATTAAAATGGCTAATTAATTACATTATCGCTTACATAAAATTAAGCAATTAGCAAAGTAGTTAAAACTATAACTTCATTACATGTTCTACAAAACAAAGTTCATAGCAATAACAAGGCAGCGCGTACATATGTACATACGTACTTATGTACATATGCATCTATTACAGCGGCCAGATGAATAATGCAACACGCCATTTGCAAATAGGCGTGGCACGTAAGTCGATAGAAACTTAAATGAAAAGCTGCCTTGAATACAAGCATAAGTAAATGCTTAGCCATGTCTTGTTAAGTACTTACAAGCATGCTAATTTGCACATATGTAGGTGTGTAAGTACATAAATAAATGTTAATGTGCAATTTGTAACTACAATTAGAGTCACTTAGGCTGCAATCAATTTGTATTGAATTCACCTTGAAATCGAAAAAGTTCAAAGAAGAATCACTACGCACGCGAAAACACTTACGGACATATGCGGATTAATGTTAAAGTAGTAAGTTATTGGTATTTATTGTATACGAGAGCAATTTTCATCCACAGCGGTTCTACATGTACACACAAGAACAATTGAATAGGCTGAGTTGTGTTACTGCGACTGCCACGCTGCTAAACCAAAATCCTCCGGTCACACACCCTGCCAAAAACCAGTGAACCAATCTGACGGTATGTGACGGTCTGCTACTGCTACTTAAAATCGGGAAACAACTCGAGTCTTATCATCTGATATCTCCCTCCTAAAATTTACGTGGTACCCTAAAACAAGCTTCTCATCCACATGATTTCCGCAAAGTCCACAGTATCACCACAGCACTTCCCTACTACTCCTTTTAGCGATAAACTTGTCGAAAGCCTTGGGACACCGTTTATTACTCAAGGCTGCTCTCCCCACGATACCGAAGCGGTGTACCACAAATTATCGAAGTTCTTGAGATCAAAACTTCGTATCTTGAAGCTACGTCAGCTACCAGCTGGGGTTTTAGTTATCTTTTACACTTACGACTGCTTGCTATTGGAGCTCTGCGATGGTATTGATGGACTGTATTTGAAATTAAATGGCTATTCCTTCCAACTTTCTTGACTACTCAGCAAGCAACTACTGCTGGGTTACTATCGTAGAAAGCAAACCAACAGTCACTTGCTCCAATCAGGGCCAACTCCTAGGCAAGTCAGAAGGCATCTCTACGAGCTGACGAGCGATATCCAGCTCCATACAACTACTGGACCCGGCGTTGTTCAGACAACAAATAAACGACATTCACCGAGAGACAATAGCCACCTTTGCTAGCTCCCGCCCGTGATTGGCTACATCGTGAGGCCGCAACGTGGGCCTCGTGTAACGCAATTAATACTACCGGAGCAGGTTTAACTTCTACTTATCAAGACTTGACGCTCCCACTTACCCAATACATGTTTGGCTAATGTAGATGCACCACATGGCAAAAGCAAATTCTTCCCTGCCCCTTAAGCCCACTCAGCTAACACTCCTTTCCTTTGGTCTGAGCTTTATCAAGAAATCTCGTTTCGAGGACCTACTTGCTTGGCCAAACATTTGGTAGACTTGTCGAAGTAGACAGAGCTGATGTAATTGTGCCGCTACAACAAGAACAACAGCAACCGATTTCGTTCTAGCCCCTTTACATTGCGATAATTAGAATTAAAACTATTTGGGGGTTTGAGGGTCAAGTTTAGCCAAATGAAAAAATCTTTTTCAAATCAACAGAGTTAAAATAAATCATCTTTCACGTATCACGATAGTTTCGAAATGTTTTTCAAAACATTTAAAAACTAACACTGGCCCATAATTACCATTGTCATTTCAAAAGCATCAACGCCGGTATATGCATCTATTTCGATGGCTACGTCTGTAAGTGGGTACATTCTTTCACTCACCCATTCGACTACGATGTATGAACTATTTTGACTAAATCTTTTATAACGGGTGATTTTTTTGAGGTTAGGATTTTCATGCATTAGTATTTGACAGATCACGTGGGATTTCAGACATGGTGTCAAAGAGAAAGATGCTCAGTATGCTTTGACATTTCATCATGAATAGACTTACTAACGAGCAACGCTTGCAAATCATTGAATTTTATTACCAAAATCAGTGTTCGGTTCGAAATGTGTTTCGCGCTTTAAATTTTGTTCAGCGATGAGGCTCATTTCTGGTTGAATGGCTTCGTAAATAAGCAAAATTGCCGCATTTGGAGTGAAGAGCAACCAGAAGCCGTTCAAGAACTGCCCATGCATCCCGAAAAATGCACTGTTTGGTGTGGTTTGTACGCTGGTGGAATCATTGGACCGTATTTTTTCAAAGATGCTGTTGGACGCAACGTTACGGTGAATGGCGATCGCTATCGTTCGATGCTAACAAACTTTTTGTTGCCAAAAATGGAAGAACTGAACTTGGTTGACATGTGGTTTCAACAAGATGGCGCTACATGCCACACAGCTCGCGATTCTATGGCCATTTTGAGGGAAAACTTCGGAGAACAATTCATCTCAAGAAATGGACCGGTAAGTTGGCCACCAAGATCATGCGATTTGACGCCTTTAGACTATTTTTTGTGGGGCTACGTCAAGTCTAAAGTCTACAGAAATAAGCCAGCAACTATTCCAGCTTTGGAAGACAACATTTCCGAAGAAATTCGGGCTATTCCGGCCGAAATGCTCGAAAAAGTTGCCCAAAATTGGACTTTCCGAATGGACCACCTAAGACGCAGCCGCGGTCAACATTTAAATGAAATTATCTTCAAAAAGTAAATGTCATGGACCAATCTAACGTTTCAAATAAAGAACCGATGAGATTTTGCAAATTTTATGCGCTTTTTTTAAAAAAAAAGGTATCAAGCTCTTAAAAAATCACCCGTTACTTAAGTATGCAAACGCTACTTTTCGAAACAGATTGAAAACTTAGAAATGCCGCTGTAAATTTTATGCGTCAAAGTTTGCCTTGCTTTAGTAGAAGTTTTGATAACATAACAAGCTGATATGCCTTAGGCAAAACGTATGTATATGCGTACGAACTTATGTTCATATCTATATACATACATTATGCCTACATACCAAAAATATGTATGTACTATGTATGTGTGTGCATAAGTACCCGCATATAGAATTTCCATGCATGCTAGGATAAATGACGCGTAAACTCAATTTTACGTTACTGATTCAAATAACAGAACACTTAACTATGTATTCAAGTTTCTCTTAAGTTTTTGCTGTCGAAATTTATATATTGTTTTAGACATTTTTATATTTATTTAGATTACTTTATTGAGATGCATATGCGTATTGTGATTAGAAAAGCGGCATTCACAAACTTACAAATCAATTATTTATATAACATACATAGCTCTTGCAAATTGCATTTTCCAACTTTTAATTTATGTTTTTTTATAACTTTTATTTTCATGCAATTAATCACTTCCTTTATAAAAAAATATGTAGATTATTTTGACATTTCGTTGCTCATGGAATCTATGTCATAAACAAATCACAAGCAGATCGCTGAGCATTTTTATTGAATTTAGATTAATAAATACTTGCATACCTTTCAGTA